AAAAAAAAAAAAAAAAAAAAGATTATATTCATTAATAAAAAAATGTTTGATAAAATCTAGCCCTAACAAGTGTCTCATACACTACTAAAAATATACAAAATTAGGAAAGTATACATTTTTTAGTAGAAGTACATAGGCAATTTGTCAAAAAAAACTAGCAAAATTTAAAATTTTACCATTAATGTGAATAGATGTACACTATACTGTTAAATAGCCAAGAAAATTGGAAATAAACCAAATGTCTACCCATAGGAGACATGTTAAATAAATATGGTAAATTAATACAAAAACTTTAGCCCTTAAAAATAAAAATGATTTAGATTTGTCTATGTGCTGATTAGGCTCTCTATGTTAAGCAAGAAAAAAAATGTTGAATAATGTGTATAGAATGATTAAATTCATGTAAATTGCTTTTTTAAAGAATATATACACATATATTATAACAAATACATTGTTTTAATGTTCTGGTAGAAAACACAAAATTTTACAGTAGTTTCCTTAAAGGGTTAAAGAGATGGGAGGAGCTGGAAAAAGAGAGCCTCTCTTTTCATTTTCTAACCACATAGATGTACTACTTTTCTTTTTCAATTGTCATTTGGAGCTAAGTGATAGAATAATGGGCTACTTTTATTTTCATTAATTCTGCATATTTATTTTAAAAAAGATTTCGAAATAAAAATATTTATTTTTCCTAGTTTGCTGTCCTTAACAAAAAACAACTATATATAAAATACATAAATTATATTAGGGATGAAAGATTTTGATGTAGCTTTCTATATATATACATACACATTTTTTTTTGTATTTTTTTATAGTTTCTAGCAAGGTTTAATATAATATTGTATGACTACTCTAACAAGGTTCAACAGTAATTTGAATTTATTCTTTTATGTTGTCTACTAATGTCCTTTGTACTGTATTAATGGAAATAAAAAATTTCATTACAGGCCGAGCGCAATGGCTTATGCCTATAATCCTAACACTTTAAGTGGCCAAGGCAGGATGAAATATACTCTATCGCTGTCTTTATAAAATCTTTATATTTATACGTATTTTTATCTTTATATGCATTTTTATCTATGTACTATCCAAAAGGAGAAATCTATGTTTTCAAAACATACACACATCAGTACATACACAAATGCATCTAGATATTGCTAGAAACAAAGTCAACTGTAAGATTCATAACCTATAAAAGAATGTCAGCAAGTCAAATGACAAGACATGAATAGCTGAGGGCCAGTTCTCTTAAAGCTTTGTATTCAGCCATGTTAAAGGATGCACCTGTTGGTCCTCCAAAATATTAAAAATAAAAATTAGGGCTAGGCACAGTGGCTCACGCCTGTAATCTCAGCACTTTGGGAGGCCAAGACAGGCGGATCATGAGGTCAAGAGATCAAGGCCATCCTGGCCAACTTGGTGAAACCCCATCTCCACTAAAAATACAAAATAATTAGCTGGGCATGGTGGCACGTGCCTTGTAGTCCCAGCTACTTGGGAGGCTGAGGCAGGAGAATCTCTTGAACTCAGGAAGTGGAGGTTGCAGTGAGCTGAGATCGCACCACCGCACTACAGCTTGGTAACGGAGTGACACTCTGTCTCAAATAAATAAATAAATAAATAAATAAATAAATAAGGAGGAAAGAGCTCATCTAACTATATTTGTTTAGGTCATTTTATACATTATTATCACTTACTTTCTCTAACCTCTACTGTTCTTATTCTTCATACTGTGTCAACTTCTCCCTACCTTAATGCCATCTTTGGATTCTGTTTCTAGTGTACTCAAAAGAGCAGTGAATGAAGAATGAGAAAATTTGGGTTCTCATTCCTCCTTGCTAATTACTTGTCTGACTGGGCAAACTTTAGGGCCAATTTTGCTCATGTGACTAAGCATCAAGAGAATAGTTGACCCAGAAGACTTGTAAGATTTCTTCTCACTGACTATATCTATCATCTCTAAAATTCCTTCCAGCTCTAAAATTCTGTGATTCAGGTAAAGATGTGTCAAACATCTTTCATACTCAGTTTGATACAGACTGAGTTTAATAATAAGACAGTCACCATTTCTTCATTCCAAGCTTCTTTCATAGAATTCTAAAAGTTTATCTTTATAGAAAATTATCACTATAGTACCTTTAGAATCTATGACTATGAGCTATTAAGTCTCATTTTAACCAAAAAGATACATATCTAAAATATTTCAGAATTGTCATCCCTGACGCTAGTTAAAATTATTTTTTCTTAACTGAAACAAAAAATAACTTTTAACAGCTAAGTGCTTACATTTCCAGTATAAGGGCACAGTATAAGGGTAAAAGAAACAATGAACAAGAAACACATGTGCCTTGGATCAAGCCAAAAAATCAGAAAGTTTACACTTTAAGGGCAGTTAGAATGACACCCCTGTGCAGGCTGATAGCAAAACCAGAAAAGCTCATCCATTTTAGCAGTGTAACACAACCCTGAGGAAGTCTGTCAATTGAAGTGTTATCACACTTTAAACACTTTGATTCAAATTGTCAGTTATCTATTTATCATTTCACTTTGGTAATTCAGTCATAGTAAACACAGACACCTATGGTGACTTTGTAATTGGCCCTCATTACAATACCAAGTTACTAAGAGGGCTTGAGAACAAGAAAAAGGATGTTCATGTATGCCCATGAGGTAAGCATTCTGAGGCAGAATTAGGTCAAGGCAAACCACAAACAGATACCTCAATTATTCATATTGCTAATATTCAAAAGTAAAGTACCTGTTCACTTTAAGACAAACTAAAAGCAACGAAAAATTCTGAACACTGAAGTCTATTAAACTACTTTTTATTTTTACATGATTCAAACTTACAAGTAAAGATCAATAAAGACATAACCAGCGCTGCAGGTTTCTAGGTTACACAAAATAAAACTATCTGCCTTCAATACCCAATCTTACACTTTATCATCACTTTTACCAACGTATTTTACCAATGTATGTTTTTTGTTGTTTTTGAGACAGTCATGCTCTGTCGCCCAGGCTAGATTACAGTGGTGTGATCTCAGCTCACTGAGACCTCCGCCTCCTGAGCTCCTGAGTTCAAGCAATTCTCATGCCTCAGCCTCCCAAGCAGCTGGGATTACAAGCACGCCACCAAATCCAGCTAATTTTTTGTACTTTTAGTAGAGATGGGTTTCACCATGTTGGCCAGGCTGGTTTCAAACTCCTGACTTCAAACGATCTGCCCACCTTGGCTTCCCAAAGTGCTGGGATTACAGGGGTCAGCCATCATGCCCAGCCAATGTATTTTTTACAAATACATAATAATTTTCCCAATAATAAGTAAAACAAACAAACAAAAAAGATAAAAATACAGTGACAATGCCAGCAAGTCTTCTTGCACAGGCTATACAGCCAAAAAACAAATTTCGAGCATTTGAGGAATTCAGATCACTTAGTCACTATGGAAAGCAGCCTACTTATGCATGAAAAGTATGATGTTTTACCATGAAGAGCTTTATTTTATTATTTTTGAACACTTAATACTTTCATCTCTCCTTGAAGAGAAGTTTTTTAACATACAGAATAAAGAGATTTCACAATTCCTCAGTTAGTTAGAAAGAACTCTTTGGAAATAAATATGACGGTAGAATTTCAACAATGGCTTTGATTCAATAGTTCTGTATTCTCTCCTGGCTCTGAACCAGTCACTCAAGTTTTGCCATTGGACCACCTTACTACTTATACTTTATAATCTCACTTGCGTATCTATTAAAATATCTTTTGACTATTCCTAAAGTTTAAATAAATTTTCATCCAATAAAAGAATATTAAGGAAGAAAAGCATAAAACAAAATAACTAACTCACATTAACATTATATGGTAAGGGGTGATATATCAATAAAATGAAACTCTAGGGGCAACAGCTCACAGTTTTTTGTGTAGAAACAACTCTGGTAAGATACTAGTAAAAGACAAAACAGCTTTCAAAATATATTAAAATATCATTGATCACTTTCTAGTTATCAATTTATGGTTCACTGATTTTTGGGTATAATTTCATATTTGCAACTTCAATTTTAGAGTAAACTAATTATCACACCAGAACACAGACTCCCAAACTAATACTGCCTAAAAAAATCATATGAAAGTTATATAAGTCTTCAGTAAGAAAGCCTTTATTTCTACCAAGCTCAAATTCCTATGAATCTTATTTCCCTAGAAAATTTCAAAATCACTAATAGCATCTTTTTAAAGCTAATAATTCAGTATAACTTTTAAAAGGGGAGTTTGTATTAATCAGAATGAGATGGGATAATCATTATATTTCTCAATTAAAAAATTCAAGATTTGCTCGAACAGAGAGCCTAAATAAACTATCTGCTTTTGACGTTTTTAAGTGTGTAAAGTATATTAATTAGATCTAATAAGACTAAATTATTTAAACACTTCTGTTCCTCATAGGACATCATCCACATTTAATTATTTTTGGTAGTAGGATTTAAAAGAAGAAACTGAGATATCTGACTACAATGGAAATTAATTTCAAGGAATTAAATATCCCCAAGCTTTAAAAACAAATCCCATTCTTTAAAACTTGACTAAAGATTTTCTAACAGTAAAATTATTTTTCAAACGATATCAATATTAGAAGTTAATTTGATTTTCTGAAGTTGATTATTACTAGAAATGTACACATAAAACATATACTGAGTAATTTCAATATTTTCAGCCTTATTTCTCTAAAACAAAATAACTTTACTCACATTTTTCCCATCCAGCAATTCCATGCACTTTTCATTTCTGTTGAAGTTACCAACTACTTCAGGATGGACACAGGTATGATCCCTGCTGGAAAGAATAGTCATTGGGACCCCTGAATATGCTGTCCTCCGGAGCTCTCTAGTAATCTGAGCAATCTGCTTGTGTGTGCGCGTCCCAAAATATATTTTGGGTATCTTGGATTTCCCCATATGATCTTTCTTAATGGTATTCAACGACTCTTGACTGTTTCCTTGTTTAGTAGAACAACAGCACCGCGAACAGTGGCCAGGGGGCTGTTAAGAAAAGAAAGAAATGATAACTAATATCTAAACTACCATAAAAAATGTTATCAAACCTCACACGGAATGAGAACCTGTAAGTAATGAATAACAATAATCAAATAAAGAGAAATTACAAGATATTACAGTATCTAAAACTTGCCATTAAAAAAAACACTACAAATTCAATTTAAAATCGGTCCTCATTATTTCTTTTAAGTTATAAATGATGTTTCCACATTTGCATTCTTTCTAACATACCACTCTAACTCTCCAATTCCAACTGTTGAGTACATTTTAACTCTCCTCTTTCATAAATTATAAAAATGATAAAAAAGAAAAATTTTAATATTTGCTTAGGCTTTATATGAATTTGTGATATTATAGTTTAGAGTTAATAGTTTTGTTCACAGCATAGTTCAAATATTCCTTAATATACCAATGCTTTTAAGCTTTTAAATATAGTTTACAAAAGAATAGAATTATCAAGGTGAATCTAAAGTATCACTTCAAGAAGAGAAAATTCTTCTTTAGCAAAGGTACCAAAATGAATGCAAAACATTAATATTTAATAATGAAAGCAGGTTGCTTGTGTGGAACAAGTATATCTGAAATTCAATTACCTGTCATGGAATGCAAACCCATCAGTAAAATTATCATCCAGGATAGTTTTTCCTGGGCAATTTCACCCATAACTCAGTTTCATAATTTAAATAGTTACATAAATGTCTCTTTAAACAAACCATATGGAACATCAGGAATATAGTCTACTTAATTTACCTGATTTTTCTCTTCTGTTTCCAAATTCTCAAACACTAAAAACAAAGTTTAATGCTATATATTAGAACTCACAGGTTCTTAATAACTATTCCCTTCTAAGTCTCAATTATTATACCAAATGACACAGAACAAAGTCACATTTTAGAGAAATAGTGTAAAACAGTTAATTTATAGAAGTGGTCACTAATGGGGAGGGAAAAAATGTAAATAGCATTGTAACTTAAAAGACTATGTGCTGCATGTATAACTATGTAATAAACCAGCACCTTCTGCACATGTACCCCAGAACTTAAAATATAACAATTAAAAAAAAGACTTTGTGTTAAAGAGTTTTAATTTAGTAGAAAACACGCTACTTTTTTTTTTTTTTTTAATTATTGTAATCAGTAAGATTAGCCTTCATAAACAAATGCTAAGTCATAGCATGTTACACCACAGTACTGGGGATCAAGCTGTCTTTTAGCCTCAACTCAGTGGAAAAGCAAGTTCAAATTACTCCCAGTCTCACTCAACCTTGTCCACCATTAAATATTACAATACATGATAGAATGGATGTAAATGTGACCCTTCTGGAGCTGTCACTCACTGGGATAAAAGGTTCACTGATGTGCCAAATAAACAGTCAGTCAAAGCAGATAAAGTTACAGCCGTGCGGAATTGTTACATTCTCCTCTCAGGTTGCCAGTAACAGCAGATTTCATTACAGAGTGCTGCCACATTAAATAGCCAGTTCCAAATATCCTGCCTTCTATATTGAATAATTACTTATTCACTAAAAGGATAAAAAGAAGAGTTATGAATGGGGCTCTTGTCAACAGGGAGGCAGGAAACAGCTGACATGTGGTTTACATTACATATGTTGCAATATCCAACAATTTATGGTCACACAGAAAATGGAATGCAAATTATATCATGATATTCCTGACTCAATTCTTTTTTGGCTTTTGCATTGATCACATCAATTAACATACAAAAAGAATTAAGGTAACTCTAGTAGAATTAATTTACTTTTTCATACCATCAGTCTTTTCACTCAATTATACTATTTCTCTTCCTTATGATATAGTTAAATTCATGTGAATACTAGAACGCCATGGCTCAATGCAGGGTTGGGCCATAGTATTTATAGATATAGAATATAATGTACATAGATACATTATATAGAAGCATAAAAGTAATCAAAGTAGCTTTTCTCAAAGACCAGAAAACTTTTTGATGTTACACTTTTCAACATTAATTCCACTTAAAGTTTTACCATCTACTCCTTTTAATTCCACCTTTTCTCTTGGCCAAAAAAATTCAAACAATACAGAAATATTTTTTAAAAATCAACTAACCTGGTCAGACATGGTGGCTTACACCTGTAATCCTAGCACTTTGGGAGGCCAAGGCAGGTGGATCACGAGGTCAGGAGATCGAGACCATCCCGGCCAACATGGTGAAACCCTGTCTCTACTAAATACAAAAAATTAGCTGGGCATGGTGTTTTGTGCCTGTAGTCCCAGGTACATGGGAAGCTGAGGCAGCAGAATCACTTGAACCTGGGAGGCAGAGATTGCAGTGAGCCAAGATTGTGCCACTGCACTCCAGCCTGGGTGACAGAGCAAGATGCCGTCTAAAAAAAAAAAAAATTCAACTGTCCCATCACAAAGAATTTAGTGTATGACTTACTGACCTTCATATATACATACGTTTTATATCTTTTTTTCAAATAAAGAGGGATGCTATTATACAGTTTTACAACTACTTTGTTTTTAAAGTTTTTAATTTTATTTATATTTATTTTATTAAGCCTCGTGAAACACGAGGCTTCAAAAAAATTGGATAAAGACTCATAACTGTTCCTCCCCCCAGAAATCTTTAGTAAAAGGCAAAAGATTTATACAATCTGAAGAGAAACCAGAGTATGAAGTTTTTAATTTTTAAAAGGGATAAGTTTGGCAAGAATAATTTAATTTTACTGATCTTAAAATGTTATACTAGTACTAGTACTAGTACTAACAAAAGCAAAAGATCAAGAACTAGTTTCAGAAAACTTTTCTCACTAGAGTTCAATTTAGGACCTTAAATCTGTTTTTCACTCCATAATTCAGAATATTATAAACCACAGCTAACTTTATATTAAACATGTTTTTAAGTTGTAAAGTGATATGAACAAATTATAACATCTACAAGCTTGAGTAGACTCCTTAAGAAGATGGTTTTCAATGAGTACTTAGGCAAGTAGGGTATAAGGTGGGAATTAAGAAAGTAAGTTAATTCTTTTTCCTTTGCATTACTAAACAAATTATTTCTTCAAAAACAATCTTCTATTAAAATGTCCATTTAAAAGATTTGGTATAGGCCAGGCACAGTGGCTCACATCTGTAATCCCAGCACTTTGGGAGGCCAAGGCAGGTGGATTGCTTAGGGTCAGGAGTTCGAGACTAGCCTGGCCAAAATGGTGAAACCCTGTCTCTACTAAAAATACAAAAATTAGCAGGGCATAGTGGCATGCTCCTGTAGTCCCAGTACTCCGGAGGCTGAGGCAGGAGAATCGCTTGAACCCAGGAGGCAGAGGTTACAGTGAGCCAAGATCGCACCACTGCACTTCTGCCTGGGTGACAGAGCAAAATTCCACCTCAAAAATAAATAATAAAATAAAAGATTTGGTACAATCATATTTGAAGACAGAAAAACTGATTATAGTAATATAATGGAAGCTTTAAAAAATCATTTATTTTGTAACAAAAGTTATAAAATAAAAATAAAAAGTTATAAAAACTTGTACCAAAATCAGCAACTTTCAATGCTCTAAGAAAACTAGAGGAAGGGTCCTGATGCCAGCAATGTCAGGAGGTCAGAATATCCCCCAATCGAAACACCGGGCTAACACATCATGGGATCTCTCTGAAACCCTTTGATGCAGGGGTCTTAAAACAATTAGATGAATAAAATTTAAAAATTTCATATCTCTTATTATTTTTTCTGCTAACAAAAAATCATGCTTATCTTTCACAAAGACTTTTTTCTTCTTCCTTTGCTGTTTAAATTGACAGTGATTTCCTTTTCTCCAGGGAACTAGAGAATAAATTTTAAAATATTCACTCTCATCCAATATATCTGAAAATCAATATATAAAACACATAGGCTTCTCCAAATTTGTAAACTCTAAGACCTCGAAGAGGCTATACAATGCCAGAACCAAACTCTTTAAGAAATGGCTTCTGCAAGGTAGAAACTGCTCAGAGTCCTTTGACTTCAAGAAAAGGCAGGAAAACTCAACCCAAGTAACTGTAAAAATATGCTATCATTTAAAGAAAAACACAAGAGATACATGTGGATGCGACAGCTATAAGATTTCCATATGTAGTAGTCAATTGTTTAAAAATACATTTCAAATCTACAATTATGAAAATTGTTCTTAGAACATCAGCAACCAAGGATTTTCAGAAAATTTTTCTTGTGTTTAATGCCTTCTATTCCCTCTCTTGTTATATTATATAGAGACATATCTAAATTTCTTCAAAGATGAAGGATTCGAAGATTTTATCTTGAAAGAAAGGCAAATTGCTGAGTCCTTGCCACTATTCCTTTCACAAGCTATAATTATAAGTTCAAATGACAACATACCAGAATGTCAACTTATAGTTTTGTAATAAGTTTTCTCCAAACTTTCCCTACAACACACACACACACACAAAAACATACTAAGCCTGATTACCTGAAAATATCTAAAAAATGAGCCTGATGATTAAATATTTTCAGAAATGGAAAATGATAAATAGTTAGAAACTAATTCTATTGCCAAAGAAGCAGCTCCTTTCCTAACTGTGAATCAAAAGAGATTCTCAAAGGAGACTACAAATTGAATTATAAAAGCAGGCATGAGTATGAAAACTAAGTACATAAAGAAGTAGAGAGAAAAAGAGACTGAAGAGAAACCTGTTTGAATAAAATAAAAGGAAAACTAGGTCAATGAAACAGTAACTTGTATTTTTCCATAACTTTCCACATGTGCATGTATTATCTTTCCAACCACACTGCAAATTCCTTGAAGACAGAAATTATGTCTTACATTTCTTTATATAGCTCATTCATTGAGAGTGGTGTTTTGCACATAACTGTAACTTTACTTTTTTTAAATTGATGAACTATGACTAAATGTTCCTGAACCAACTACTGTACCCATGCATTACAATTAAATCTGACAGATGCTTAAATGATGTCCTAATTTGAAGTGCTGCACATATCAA